AACGGGAGTAAAGGGATTTGGACTCTGCAGCGTACCCGGACGTCTCTACACGGTCGATGACCAGCTGGGGTGGGCGTACATTCAACAAAGATCTTTTCGAAGAATACGCCAAGGAAGCATCGATGCGTCACGAACGCTGGCTGCCCGGTGGCTCAAAACATGCTAAAACTTGTGCACAGCCACATGCGCAGGCATGAAACCAGTATCTGCCAAACAAACACCCGGCAGCACCGTGCGAAAGAAATGCTACATTTGCGCTCTCAGGGGATGCTGGTGATGGTGTAGAAGATCTCACCCGTGACCTGCTTGGACTGGGACAGGCGATTGGGGAGCCGGCGAAGAGTCCAAAACTCGCTGCCCCAACTGCGACACTTGATGGGAATCATTCTTGTTTTGCCTTCCTTGATGCGAAACCTCTTGAACTGGTCTAATTTCCAGTCTTCCAAAGTGTGCTCCGCCTGGAGTCCATAGATGATCCTGAGCCGGTGATGTTGCAACAACTGATACATCATCACAAAACGTCTTTCCGCGACAAAAACCTGGACCGTGTACGCACAATGACCCACAGATTAGTCGTTTGATATTGTTTGATGGATTTCGGAATTGAGTTGGGGGTGATGTCCATGGAACTGAGGAACTACGACACAGGATGCGGAAAAACCAAAAAACCTGCTCTGTCTGTTCACGAGTGGTGTATGATGAGTGGTGTATGATGAGTGGTGTATGATGAGTGGTGTATGATAAGTGGTGTATGATGAGTGGGGTGTGATGAGTGGTGTATGATAAGTGGTGTATGATAAGTGGTGTATGATGATTGGTGCATGATGAGTGGTGTATGATGAGTGGTGTATGATGAGTGGTGTATGATGAGTGGTGTATGATGAGTGGTGTATGATGAGTGGTGTATGATGAGTGGTGTATTGATGAGTGGTGTATAATGAGCGGCGTATTGATGAGTGGTGTATGATGAGTGGTGTATGATAAGTGGTGTATGATGAGTGGTGTATTGATGAGTGGTGTATGAACAGTTCTTGAATGTCCGTAACACGGAAGTTTCGTACACTAAACTTCCTATATATATATATAGAGATATTATATATATATATCACTTGTTTTCTCTGTGAGTTATGCGTGAAAAAGCACCTGTGTATCAGGGTCAGATTCAACTAGGCCTCTGTAAGAAGGTTGGCGCTGGTTGCAAACACACTCAGACGTTGAAAGCCTGCTTGGTCGGACCCCAGATGTCAAACAAATTCAATGAACACATTTTTGGGCATTGTGAATTGTCCGCCTCTTTTGTCCAAGTATCTTTCAACTCGATCAGAGCGATGTCGCCGCAGCGACACCTCCCGCTCCAGCGAGGCATGCAGCTATAGGCATGAAGCTCGCCTCCTTGGGGGGAAAGAATTCCGTCGAGGTGGACAGTGGATGGGTGAGGCCAGGGTGACCCTGTGGTCAATCTGCGTGTCCTTGAAATTCGAACACACCCATTGCTTGAGGGAAAAGTTGCGTTGACACAGTGACATATGAAGAGTGGGACAGGTCGGAGAAAAAGACACGAGAATGCCAAGACGCCTTGCGTCCGTCACACAGGTGATTGGAATTGACTGCACCACCAAAGTCCAACATTGCCAGCGGCACCTTGGAAGGCAAGTGAATTGACCATGATGCTGTCCTTCATGCATGGGTTCATATGGGCTCTTAATGACCCGCATTCCGACTTAAATGGAGTCTCCGTTTGGATAATATTTATAATACCCGTGGATTGTAAAGCGTGGCTCACAAATACATCAAACGACCGAAAATTGATTGGCACATCTTGCGTCTGCTGAAAACTGCTTTCGGGATTTGAGGGTTCTCCGGGTTCACGCCATTATATTTTCTTCAGATGCCACCTGGAGCCCCACCACCTTGCCAGGCTGCAGCGCCGATCTCATGGCGTTTGGGCTCCAGGTGGTTCAGTACCACGTCTAAACGATGCCCAGGCACCTGAGACGAGAGTCCGGGAGTCGGTGAGTCGCACGGGCGCCTCCGCACCGCCCGTGGGCTGTAGTGGCACGGCTTCAGCCTCTGCGAGGGTTTATGGGTCCAACTTGTAGCCCACGTCGGCTGAGACCAAGTATATAGCTCCCAGGGAACTCCCCCAGTTGAGACTGAGACGAGCTTGGGGGGTTGTAACAAAAGTGCTGTAGTCGCATGTTAGGTGAACTGGCCAGAGCCATCTAGAGGCAATCTAGGACACAGAAAGGCAGCCAAATTGCTGCAAGACCGCACTTCCACATGATGCCAACATATCCCAACAAACTTCCAAGGCTCTGGTGCTAAATATGCGTCAAAACTATGTAGAGTAATCACCTGGGCTGGATGAGAACTTGGCAACCCCGAAATCAAAGAATTGTTGGATTGGACCTCAGGTCCGCCTTGAAAGGAAACAAGCAGGACCAGTCCGGGAGTGGAGAGATGTTCATCCAAATCGCAAAATCCTTGCAACATCTGGTAATGATCCATGGGTTGAAGAAAGATGCAGCTGAGCTTCGAGAGCCCAGAGGGGGAATGTGTCCCAAGAAGGGTGGTCACATCTGTGAGGCATCTTGAGCCCCTTCATTCTTACGATGTGTTATGATGATGTATTTACAGTTCGACAAAGCTCTTCCAAAGACCACATCATACTGCATTTCAGTCCTTCTCGCAAGCCTGCTCAACATGTTCAATGCTGCTTGAGGGCCCAATCGGATCTTCCACGTTGGCTCCACAAGCAATGAGCCTGGCTGAGTTGTAGCTCTGGGGGACTAGGCAAGCAACGGGACACTCAGGACGAATCCAGTGCGGCTGATGGCGCCGAGCTTCTCGGAGAGATGAGAGGGCCAAAGTGGGAAGTAGGAGACCTGCGGGCGGAACGTGTAGTCGGTGGAGACATGGCTTTCTTCTTAAAGTCCACTCTGCCGCTCTGCCCTCTTCCTGCTTATGTAATTCAGAAAGGGTGACTAGTTCGCTCCTGGCTAGGACGCAGCTCACGCTTCGTCAAGGAAGTTCCCCCCGCCTGAGGGCGGGCAGGAGCTTCCTTGAAGAAGCGCTCGCACTAGTGATCTGGTTCCTAGATGTTTAAGGAGACTTGACTGTCATGAACATGACGACAACTCAGCAATGTCCACAAAGACTCATGACTCATGTTGGGCATTTAGCTTTGGCTTGTATATTTATATTTGGCAATTTGGCTGTAGGGTTAAAGTTGAATCTAATCTTTTTCAAGTAGCAGCTCCATCCGCCAAAACTGTGAAACTGACTTCCCAATCAACGCGCAATTTGCCAGAGTACAAGTTGACATGCAACTGAAACATTAGCTTTAACCATGTGGTGGGTCGAGCTACCTTTTGTCTCGTATGATGAAAAAAGACAGCAAACCTACCGAGCGAAAAACATTGACTCCAAAGGATGGCTGTGAGAATCTCAATAGCCCTTTCCATCCTCCTCTGTAAGTTGTAGTGTTCTCAGCAGCAACTACATGCGAAACTTCACCGATGAAGAAAGCTTCACCGGCGAAACCTCAGAGTTTTTATGGCGGCGAATCGAGTGCCCTGCCAGCGATAGAGTGCCCTGCCTGTGCATCTGCAGAAACAGAAAACAGCTGCTGGATCTCTGCTGCTGACCCATCAGAATCATAGAAAGCAAAGTGGTCCACACCCATGGCCTGACTGAACGTTGAACAGAAGGCCAAGCAATATCTGGAACCCATGAGCTGTTGAGTTGGGAGTGTCAACATACCCCAAAGTGCCTCTCACTCCTCTCACTTGCTCACCAATCTACATACAACTACTTCCTGCGCGAGCGAGACTTCTAGGCATGCCAGGCAAACGTCCGACTCTGGTCCCACCCGAAAGCTTTAACATATGGCTGTAACATCTGGTACCACAGTCAAACAATCATCATCATCATCATCAGCAGCAGCAGCAGCAGCATCAGCAGCACAGGGAGGTAAAAGAACATCGTCTTGGGGCACATTTTTTCCGCTTTCTCAAGCATGACGACTGTCCACCATCAAGCGCCACCAAACTGCTACGAAAAGCAATCTTTGGAGACGCGGAGTCGCTTCCGCTCCTGATCGGCATCTGCGCAAGAAGTCACATCAGCCAGGCTCCGGCGCTGCCACGTTTTCACTGCTCGCCCTTTCTTCTTTCTACGAGCGTTGTCGTCCTGTATGCCTGCTGACTCGATGACAAGCTCGAGCAGACCGACGTCCACCAGCTCTTGCGCCACTGCAATGATGACGTCGGTCTTCTTGCAGGGCTCCATTGCAGTTCTATTCCGGATGCAAAGGCGGACTGCCTTTTGGTCGAATGGCTTGGCAAAGGCCTCATTGGTGAGCATTTCATGCTTCAGCATGTCCCTAGGCTCCAGCGGTGGTGGTGGGGCGCTGATCCCGGTGCTACCGAGCAAGTCTGAGCTTGCCCTGCCTGCTTTGGATTCTGCCATTGCTGGTCTCATGACCGTCCGCCAGTAGTAGTAGTAGTAGTAGGCGAAGTGCAAATCAATTTGCCGAAGCCATGCATGAACAGCCATGAGGTACTCATGAAGATTCGGACTCTGCCTCCTTGTCTCCTCAGGGCACGGTCCCTCCGCGGACAGAAACTGGCACTTCCTCATGTTCAGCCAAGCACCCCGCAAGGTATCCGTGTGGAAGAACTCCACTTTCTGTCTGTGGAACTTTGTGAAGTGCTCGTGCTTGGGGCTCGCTTCCACCCACTGATCCACAGCTTCGGCAACTGCTTGGTAGAGGTCAAGGCTGTACCCATCCAAGTGGGGCCTCTGTGGCTGGGCGTCGTCCATCATCACGGTGAACATGTACTGGTGCATTGCTGTCACCAAGTCATCTGCAGCATCGATGGTGATAGTCTCATCTTTTGCAGTGTTCTCTGGAGGCCATGCCATCGAACAACGCTTCTGAAAGGCATGCGCCATAGGAGCCAGCGCCTCCTCGACCACCTCCGCTTGTCCGGTGATCTTCATGGAAACCACATACATCTGGTCATCGTCGCCGATGTGGATCGCACCTGGGGCTTTGTCATATCGTCAGCCTCGGCCAGCAAGTATGTGTTCAACTTGGCCCGGTCGGCATAGTGGCGCAATGCCTGCGGATCGGCGTGGGACGTCTTGATGATATTGACACACTCATCGCTGTACAGGGCCACCCTGTGAAAGTTCAGCAGGCATGTTCTGAAGCCCTTCGGCGTATATTCTTGGGCGAAGCACTCCTTGGATCTGATTGCAGCAACCTCATTGTGCTCGTCAGCTGGGGCAGCCTTTGTCAACCACTTGTTGGTCCTCTGGATGAGATGACTCTTGCGAGCACTCGGACTGAGCCCGATCATCACACTTGTCTGTGGGTTGACTCCGATGTGTTTGGAATCAGGCCTATGTAGCAATCTTGTCTTCCGATGCCTTGGCGTCGTGCTCTTGATCAAGAGTGGCACGCCCAGAACAATATGTTATTTTTTGTTATTAAGGAAAGGCTAGATACAACAAGATGGAGCCCACGAACCCGAATGCAGACACGTTCGAAAAGCTACAAATGACACTCTTGTAGGACACTCTTGTGGGACACTCTTGTGGGTCACTCTTGTAGGACACTCTTACGGGACACTCTTGTGGGACACTCCTGTAGGACACTCTTGTAGGATTGCAGGACCTCACAACTCCCGACCTCACAATTCCCTGCGCCTGCCACGAATCTCTCCGCGTCCACACGTCTAACGCGCAGCAAGTACTGCGCCTGCCACGAAATGTCACCTCCGTCACACCTTGCAACCGCACCATTCTCTGCGCCTGCCACGAGAATCGCACTTCCACGCCTCAAAACCCACACAAAGTATACTGCGCCTGCCACGAAATGTGGCAATATCATCTCATGTCAGCTTCAACAAAATTTGCACCACACCACATGGAGATTTCGACCCGTTCTGAGCACGCTCCCATCCACCAAAATCGCCATTTCAGCTGAGACTGGTCACGAAAACAGCGCTTCGATGCCACACCCTGAAACGCAAATCCCAATGGCACGGCCACATCCAACACCCCAAAAACACGACTCTCCAAACGCTAATTCCCAATGGAACTGCGTAGCAAACTGCGGATCTCACAAAACGCTGCGCCTTTGCAGCGAAATGCATCACGTTGCTTGTGCGACATGTCAATTTCAAGCAATTCATCATGGAATAGCGGCGCAAACTGACACGTCACACATCCATGAAAAGTTCCTTGCAAAAGCTTCCCCCAATGGCAGCGCCTGAGCGTCCTCTATACTGCCAACGGTTGCGAACCGTTGCGGACGGTCGCGGACGGTTGAGGACGGTTGCGGATGTAGAAACAACGGGTCGCGAACAAGGCTCTACCCTGGTCTGTTAAATTCACGCAAGACACTCCAGGAAGCTCAGCTGCGCTTCCAAGCACAAATGCAAGGCCTCTGGCCATATCTTCTCCTTCAGCCCGATTTGCTTCACTGCCTGCATCCACACAACTGGCCCAATCTTCAGCAGGTCGAACTCGGCATCCAGAGTACACTCGCCATGGTACCAAGTTGCGTTCAAAGCCCTGTCCAGTCTAGCTTTGATGGTCTGGATACACTCGGCACGGTTGCGGAAACCTTCAAACAAGTCTCCGCGAAATAAGCATGGCTGTATCTGATCTCGACTGGTAGCGTTCACGATGGTCACTAGCATGGCCTTTATAGGGTCCTGCTGGCCGGCGTTCTTCTCTTGTGTGGCTCTCTGCCATGCGTCTTGCCATCCCAAGTGCTGCGGGGAAAGCTGGAGCCGCTGCTGCGGTGAGAGCGGCGACTGTTGCGATGAAGCTGTTGATGGTGCCACTGCAACCTGAGGCTACTGTTCGGCCCACCAAAAAAGGCCGCGCTCGCACCGTCAAAGTTGGGTGGCTGGGTGGCCAAAACCCAAAGGAAAGAAAAAATACATGAAGTGAAGAGGAAGGACACGCTGCTGCGGTGAGAGCGGCGACTCTTGCGATGTTGATGGTGCCACTGCAACCTGAGGCTACTTTTCGGCCCACCAAAAATGCCGTGCTCGCACCCTCAAAGTTGGGTGGCTGGGTGACCAAAACCCAAAGGAAAGAAAAAATGAAGTGAAGAGGAAGGACCAAGCAACTTCTGTCAAAGGGATGTTGGGTGGCGTGAGGACATCTTCATCCTTGGCGACGGATGAGATGAGGAAGCTGGGCGACGGTGCATCCGGCGCAGGGGTCTCTTCGCCCTGAGCAGTCTTCCAAGACGACACGGCAGGACTCAGGACACATGATTCTGAGAGCTTAGTGGCGTAGCCAAACAATGAACTTTTTCCACGTATATAAACAATGAGACGGGCAGAGTTGCACATAAGCAGCTCTTAGAGTATTGTTGCGTCAAGGCTTGAGAGTGATGAAAAGCTCACGCGCGCGCTATATGTGAAGCCAAGCCTCTGCTCTGTCGGGGAAGCTGGGCGGCGATGCTTTCAGCGAAGAGTGATCATCGTCCTGAGAAGTGACTCAAGGTGCACAGCCCTACATAAGATAAAGCTATTTTTGGCCAGGGTGGCACAGCTCTCAGGCGCCTTTCTTACCGATGACAATATGAACCCAAAGGCTACATGTATATGGAAGCCTCTTCGACATCAAGTGTAAAACCACTCAGCATGAAAGGCATTGCCAGGCAACTTTCTCCACCTTGGCATTCAATGGGGGGTCATGGGCGCGGAGATCTGCCTCCTCCACAGGAATGCACAGGAAGAGGGCTGGAGCAGGATGCACGTCAGTTGCGTCACGCAGTGACCAAGCCTTTGCGTTCACCGGGCAGATATTTTCTTCCTTAGCAGTCACCCAAAAAACACCTGTTTATGATGGCGTAAACGGGTACTTATCAAGTCAAACCATGACAGGCGTAGCCAGGCCACTTCTTCCACGTGGGCAGTCAACGGCGAGCTATGAGCGCGGGGATGTTCGCCCTGCACAGGAACGAGAGCAGGATAGCTATTCGAGCCCTGTTGCTTCAAGGGGTTGAAGACTTGGGGGCGACCAAAAAACTAGGGTGTAAGGTAATGGAAAAAGCCATCCAAAATTCAGTCAACGGACACTAACGATTTGACTCCTGGACTTGATTTCTATCACTCCGGGTCTCCAGGACTTCACAACGATTTTGGGGCATGTACGCCAACTTCACCAATTCAACCTGCCAAAGATCCAAGCCTGTGCTGCCAAGGTGGATGACAATGCTTCCATCAGAGCTTCGTCCTGAGCAGTCAACTGAAGCCAACAAATCTTAGATAAAACTTGAAATGATCTGCAATGGCTCTGAAACACAAACGATCTTGAGCGCTGGCGGCCTCAAGTGCCTCAAGGGTGGCACTGGATTGCGAGTTCTGAGCGCGGAGATCTTCATCCTGGGAAGGAAGAAGGGGTGGACGCATTCACAAATGCACAGCAGCAGTAGCCTTGAAGGTCTGTTCTTTGGACGGGCAAGTTCTCTCGACAAATGCCTTGCCTGGTTTTAGGGTACAACACCAGCAGCATGTCTTGGCCAAAAGTGTCTCTCTCTCGAACACCAAGCAGCTTCTCCCGCTTGATGACTGGATGGCGAGCGCTGCGCACTGAGATCTCCATCCGCCTCCTGGGCAGCCCCAATAGAGGACATTTGCAAAATTGCGCATTAGGAACCTGCTGGAGAGTTATTGCGTCAACGACGACTTACAAAGCAACAGGCTGACCCCACGGCTTTTTGAAACCAAGCAACTGAGTTCATGCCAGCTCGGCGAGGAGGTGGCTACAGCCAAAAATGCTTCGTTCTCACACATCTGTTTTCTTCCTTCCTTCCTTCCTTCCTTCCTTCATTCATTCATTCCTTTCCTTCTTTGTTTCTTTCTCTCTCTCTCTCTCTACAATGGAAGTGAGGTTACTGGCAAGAGAGCGAGACAGGTGTCTAGAGGGTGAATCGAGGCGGATAAAATGCCGAATTTGTGACGTTCAAAAGATTGAACCCATCTACCGTGTAACAACATGGAGACCAACCTGGGTACACTTGTGGCTCTGGACCTCTGGAGAAGAACGTTCAACGTGCTCTTGATCAGGTGGGACAGGCGGCAGGTGTAACAACCCCCGCTGTGCCACCGTAGACAACATCTTGCAAGGGTCAAAGGGTGGCAAGTGGAAACAAGTAGCAGGTGTAAGAACCCCTCCTGTGCCACATGCGCCCTATGAGCCAAGCAGGCAGTGGAACCCAGCTTCCCAAGACTTCCTGTGATCAATGCTGCACTAAGAGTTTCTGTGGGCGTCAGGCGCCACAACACTTGCAACTTGCAATCCGACACTTTCAGACTTGGTGTTGGTGGGAGGTATGACATGTGGTGTGCAGCGTGTGGAGTTGTGAGAGCTGACAATGCGTGTGTGTGTGAATGCGTCAGCGTGGGGTTTAACTCCCTGCAGCGCAGTGCCTGCCACTTAAAAGAAAGGATGGCCCGCCTGACTACCTGACAGCCTGGCCTGGCCTGACACTGCCAGACTGCCAGGCCAAGGTAATTGAATCTAAAACGGTAACAATCTAAAACGGTAACGGTACAATTAAATTACTTGCGCGATGAAAAAAAAGAACCATCCATTTTCCTAGCAACTAGCAACCAGAACCATGAAATTCCCAAGCGCTCGACTCAAGCGTGAAATGTTTGAAGCCCTGCCTCTGGAGCTTCTCTGTCAAGCCCGCTAGCCCAGCAAAAACGCCCCTTCCCTTCACTCTATCTTGGGCCCATGGGGCCACTGGATCAATGAATCACATCAAATGGCTGCTGGAATAGGAAGCAACACAACACGCAACTTGAACCAGCTAACCTTTGGCCTTTGACTTGGCGTTGGGTGTGATCAGTCCAAGCTGTCCAAGCGACACACGCAAAACATGTGGTTTGGTGGACGGACAACCACGTCTCAGTTCTCACAGATCTGTCCAGCAAAGTGTCCAAGTCTCTCTCTCTCTCTCTCTCCCTCTCTCTCTCTCTACAATGGAAGTGAGGTTACTGGCAAGAGAGCGAGATAGGTGTCTAGAGGGTGAATCGAGGCGGATAAAACTGCCGAATCTGTGACAGTTCATAGTTACCGCCATACGACCAGACCCACCCGGGCAAACAAACGAGCTGGATTCATCATCGATCCAAAATATTCATACCTCCTGCATAGTGCCCACACTTCGACCGCAGGCCTTCGATGTGACACTCCAGCGCTGGGAAGTTATATTCGAGGCACAACGTCCTGAGTCTGGGGCTTTGTGTTTCAGAATTTGTAGGAGTCTGCAAGTTGATCGACCCGAAGCCAGTCGGAAGCACGCATCCAATCCCATTATTACACAAATAGGTACCAGAAATAGCAAGAACAGCCAACCTAATCCATCCTGTTGGCATTCCCCAAGCTAGTGGGGACTGTCCTCAGGTGGAATCCTTCGGGTCAGGTTCAGATCTGTCCCAGTACAATGTCCTTTAGCGCACTACACCAGGATCTCCGCGGCCGAGCATCGGGAAGCTTGTAGGAAAGGGCCGTGAGCTGGCGCTGGCATTGTACCGGTTACTTCCTGAGACCGGTCGCTGGGAGCTAGGGTCATCCCGGGGCGTGAAGAAGTTGAGGTATCTAGTCCTGTTTGGGGAGGTTTTTGGGATGAAGAACTATGTTCTAAGGCAGTGGCTCATAGTTTGTGGAGTCACCTCCCGGAACTGTTTGCCAGAATGCTATCCATGGAGGAAGTCGAGGCACCCCTGTCACATCCTTGACCCCTGGTTTCTTAAACTTTCATGTGACTGGTTCTTGCAATGAACGAACTCCAGCCCTGTCGTCGACCCGCGCACGTGTTGTATGTTGCGCGCGTGACGTCGCAAGGTTCAACAGCGGCTTGTTGTGGCCTTTGCTTTGAGCAGGATGAGGTGCACGAGGTGTAGTCGTAGGATGACCTGTCGCAGGCGTGAGGAGAAACTTTTACGCGCTGGCGCATACATAGCTTGTTTAGAGTTGTGTTGAGTGATGTTTACGACAGGTTTTTGGTCACCCAGCCTTGGGGTCAGGGGCATATTTGCTTCAGCTCTTTGTTGCTGACCTTATCACGTCCTCAGTATTTGTGCACAAGGGTGCAGGAGGAGCCATCTTACCATGGAGGGAAGTTCAACCTTGATAAGTATACGATCAAGCAAGCTTGAAAGCTCTCCCTGGTAGAACATTCTACACTCTGGGTGGTAGGACCATATGGATGTTGACACACCGGGCGGCCGGGTAGGACATGCTTGTGTCCCTGAGTGACAGAGAAAACATCCAAAGCCCAAACAGAATCCCATCCGAAGTGTCTCATGTTTATTTATATTGTTTCTCTATGGTGTCTATGTTCGTTTACCCTTGGGTTTTCTGACCAACACATCGCCCTGACAAACAGACCTCGCTGATGTAGAATGAATCACAGTGTAAGGGAACACGAAAAATAAAACTGATCATGGTCGCGTTTGCAGGACAACACAGTAACGACGCTGCAAGAAGGGTTGACCATAGACTATTACAACGACACGGCGTGAATGGTCGCATTTACAGGATGTCAAACCAAAAACTCTTCGTAACAATGCACTCAGGGGGTCTCAGGTCTTTCCCAAACGAACGGAAGCGGAATCCGATTTTTGCGGCATAGACTATTACAACAACACGGCTTGAAAGGTCGCATTTACAGGATGTTAAACCAAAAACTCTCCGTAACAATGCACTCAGGGGGTCTCAGGTCTTTCCCAAACGATCGGAAGCGGAATCCGATTTTTCCGGCATAGACTATTACAACGACACGGCTTGAGTGGTCCCATTTACAGGGCGTTAAAGCAAAAACTCTCCGCAACCACGCACTCAGGGGGTCTCAGGTCTCTCCCAAACGAACGGAAGCGGCGTCCGACGTCTCCGGCATCCTAAAAGTGGAGGTGATAGGTCAGAGCTTCCAAGCACTTTCGTCTCCGGCCCTCTTGACAAACTAAAAATTTTGGACAAAGCTGTCACGACATCTCAAAAGTGGAGGTGACAGGGCAGAAGCAGGCAGCAATAGGTCAGGGAAGCGAGCAGGAGCAGCAAACCATTTGCAGCAAGCAAGACAAGCAAAGCAGCAGCAGGGGCAGCAAAGTAGCAAACCATTTGCAGCAAGAACCACCAGCAAAATCAGCAGCAGCAGGCCAGCGCCAGCCAAAGCAGCAGCAGGGGCAGCAAAGTAGCAAACCAGAAGCAGCCAGCCAAAGCAAGTGGCAGCAGGCAAGAGACACCAGGCAACAGCCGCAAACTAGCCAACCAGAAGCAGCCAGCCAAAGCAAGTGGCAGCAGGCAGGAGGCGCCAGCAAACAGCCGCAAACGAGCAAACCAGAAGCAGCAAGCCAAAGCAA